AGAGAGAGAGAGAGAGAAAGAGAGAGAGAGAGAGAGAGAGAGAGAGTAGAAAAATAATCGGGAGGGGGAATAAATGTAAAACGACAAAACTGCGTATCTTGGCAGTGACATTCCGCTGAATAGCTGTTTTCCTCTGCGCTGGCCCGGGGAATTAAGAGGCTAAGCGGGGAGGCTGGCGTGGTCGCACTACCAGTAGGCTGTCACTCAAGGCACAATCGCTCCATCCACCATCAACGGCCAAACCCACACGGTTGGTAGCTGTTGCGGCGGGCAGTACCCCATCACTACCACCATCACCACCACCACAACAACCTCCACAACCGTCAAAACTCCCGCAGCCGTCGTAGCTGGTGCACCATCATCCACATCATCACCACCAGCAACAACATCAGCAAGAACAACACCAATATTTCGGGGTGTTGATCAACTCTAGAATACTTGAGTCTGATTCTGTTGCTGCCGTTTCCTCAAAGAGAATCTTGTTCAGTCCAAACTTCGGCTCTTTTCGACTTACTGGACCGCCCAAGTTTCGATAACAAGGTAGATCGATGCCACAAGATTCCGTCCGTGGTTTTAGTTTTATTTCGTTTTCTTATCTTTTTGTGGTTGTTTGTTTTTAATTAACATGTGATTATTAGTGGTGATTATTCAGACTCTACTTCGTGTGTGGAGGGACTTGCAAACCACAAGTAGATCTAATTAATTCAATGGATTTTTTAAAAAGAGAGTGTGTTACTTTCTTGCTATTGTTATTGTTTTTGATCTAAAAATACACGGCACGGTTGGATAGCCTTTCTGGATACGCTAAGGATGTCCCTGTGCCTTTTGCATGGCTACCTCTCAATGTCCTTGATGTGTGTGTATGTGTGTATATGTGTGTGTGTGTGTGTGTGTGTGTGTGTGTGTGTGTCTGTTTGTGTGTGTGTGTCAGAGTGTCAATATGTTCTAGCTCTCTTTGTACCACTATCTATCGTTGCATGTTCGTCGAAGTCGCACGCAGAAGGCGTGAGTTCGATTCCATTTTTGAGGATTCTGTCGAGTATCTCTGTCTGCCTGTGTTATATTCAGAAAATTTGTTCACAGACGTCGTTGCCTTGTTGCATTTTACTATCTCATTCTTTCACAATCTGA